TGGGAAGATCTTCAAAATCGTTTCTTTCAAAGCAACGCACCATGCATTTTCCAGATCGAGAGAGAGATTGCTTGCATTACTCAAGATCAAATGACAGTTTCTGCATACTACACAAAATTAAAAAAATTGTGGGATGAGCTAGGATCCTACAATGATGCTATTTGCACATGTGGAGCGAACAACAAAAGACGCAAGTTGATGCAATTTCTCATGGGGTTGAATGAATCTTATAATGTTGTTCATGATCAACTCCTTTTGATGAATCCTCTACCAGATGTTTCACAAGCTTATTCTTCCATCATTCAAGAAGAAAAGCAACGAAATTTGGGTGCAAGAAGAGAGACTATAGAAGCTTCTGTCATGGCTGTCCAAAGAGAGGAACCAATAGCCCTCGCTATTCGGCATAATTTTGGTCAGTACTCTCGTCCCAATTCCAATAATCGTAAACCACTGCATTGCTCTCACTGTGACAGAGATCATCACACGAAGGAGACATGTTGGAAGTTACATGGTTATCCACCAGGACAATCCAAGCATACCACGGCAAAAAACCATCATTTCAAGTCCAATGGCAATAATCAATCTTCAGCCAATAGTGTCAAAGAAACCACATCAGCACATGTTCAGCCCCTTGTGAATGGATTTACTGAACTATAATTACAACAAATTTTGGCTATTATGCAGAGCAATGGAACATCTCAATCATCTGCTCCCAAGGCAAATAATGTCAATTTTTCTTCAGGTTTTTCCGCACCAAAATTGATAATTGATAGTGGTGCAACAAATCACATAATTTCTTCTCCATCTTTACTTGTCAACAGTAAAGAAAACACTTCTTTACCACCAGTTGTTATGCCAAATGGAGATCAAGCTCCAATTACTTCTACTGGAAATTTGCCCTTAAGTTCTATTATTTATTTGAAGAATGTACTTGGGGTTCCATCTTGTAAGGTGGATTTGATGTCTGTGAGTCAAGTCAAAAGTGATTTAAATTGTTCAGTAACTTTTTTCCCACAATTGTGTATTTTGTAGGATTTGATGACGGGGATGATGATTGGTTTGGGTGAACAACGAGATGGACTATATTACTTGGTTGCAATGAATAAGTCACACAAGGTTAATACCATCAAAGTTGCCTCCACTTCAAACACCTCGAGTATCTTGTGGCATAGGCGTCTAGGACACTTATCCTCTTCCAGATTAGACTTTATAGCCAAAAATTTCCTTCATTTCCCTTTCAAACAAAATAACAATTGTACTGTTTGTGCTCTTGCAATACAAACTAGACTCCCTTTCTCTACAAGTTCTATTTCCTCTGTTAAACCTTTTGAATTAATATATTGTGATATTTGGGGGCCCTTTAGAGTCCCTTCCCTATCTGGTGCAAAATATTTTCTGACTATTGTGGATGACTTTTCTCGTTTTACTTAGGTTTTTCTAATGCATCATAAAAGTGAGACACAAAAAAATTTAACCGGTTTTTTCTCCTTTGTGAAAACCCAATTTGATACTACAATAGCAAATATTCGGGTTGACAATGGGGGAGAGTTTTTCTCTATGCGAGAATTCTTTAAACAACAAGGCACTAATTACCAACATTCTTGCATTTATACACCTCAACAAAATGGGTGGTTGAGCGCAAACATAGACATATCCTTGAGTCAGCTCGAGCTCTTCGTTTTCAATCTCACCTCTCTTTACACTTTTGGGCAGAATGTGTCTCCACTGCTGTTCATATAATTAATAGGTTGCCCACACCTATCCTTTCTCACCAAACTCCTTTTGAAAAACTATATAAAAAAATTCCCTCTTATTCCCACCTTAGATTTTTCTGATGTCTAGCTTATGCTACAAATGTTCATGTGCCCCATAAGTTTGCTCCTCGTGCCACCAAATGTGTTTTTATTGGTTATCCAATTGGTCAGAAAGCTTACAAATTATATGACATTGAATCTAATAGAGTTTTCACTAGTCGTGATGTTATTTTCCACGAGGATATTTTTCCCTACGAATCCATTTCTTCTTCACTACCTAAAACAGATTCTGTTGTACCTATTGTTATCTTAGATTCCTCACTCATCCACCAAACGCGTGAAGAATCTAACCCCGCGACTCCCGCTTTTCCAGCAGCCCCCACTTCTGCCACTCCTGCTTTTCCAACAGCCCCCACTCCTGCTTTTCCAGCAACTCCCACTCATGCTTCTCTAACAGCCCCTCCGCGTCGTTCTCAAAGAACCCATGTTCCTCCTGTAGCCTTGAGTGACTATGTTTGTAATCAAGTAAGTTCTCCCGAATCATTGCCATTCTCGCCATCTTTTCCCAGTAAAGGTACACGATATCCGATCTCCAATTTTATCTCATATGATTGTTACTCACCACAACATAGATCCTTTATTGCTACTATTACTCATGATGTTGAACCTACATGTTATAAGCAAGCTGCTTCCCAATCTCATTGGCAAACAACAATGCAATCTGAGTTGGCTGCTTTAGAGGCTAATAATACTTGGTTACTCACACCTCTCCCTCCTGGAAAGCAAGTTATTGGTTGTCGTTGGGTCTATAAAATCAAGCGAAAATCAGATGGTTCTCTTGAACGCTATAAAGCGCAGTTAGTAGCAAAGGGATACACACAACTTGAAGGGATTGATTACCACGACACTTTTTCACCTACTACTAAAATGGTTACAATACGTTGTTTGTTAGCTTTGGCAGCCGCTCAAAATTGGCCACTTCATCAACTTGATGTCCACAATGCGTTTCTTCACGGAGATCTTTCTGAAGAAATTTATATGTCTCTTCCTCCTGGTTTTCAGCGACAGGGGGAGAACATTGTGTTTCGCCTCAACAAATTTTTATAAGGATTAAAACAAGCCTCTCGCCAATGGTTTGCCAAGTTCTCTACATCTATTCAAGGTGCATGACTTATTCAATCAAAAGCAGATTACTCGTTGTTTACGTGTAAGAAAGGCAAATCATTTACTTCCTTATTGATCTATGTTTATGACATCCTCATAACTGGTAATGATCTCAATGCCATAACTGTTCTTAAACAGTTTCTGCATAATCAATTCCGGATTAAAGATTTAGGTGACTTGAAATTTTTTTTGGGCATGGAGATTTCTCGGTCAAAGAAAGGTATATTCGTTTCGCAAAGGAAATATGCTTTGGAAATTCTAAAAGATGGAGGATGTTTTGGAGCTAAGCCTGTGAATTTTCCCATGGAGCAAAATGTAAAATTGTCAGATGAAGGAGAATTGTTGAAATATCCATCCTCATATAGGCGACTTGTAGGACGCCTAATTTATTTGGCTGTTACTCGTCTGAATATCACCTACTCAGTGCACATATTGAGTAGATTCATGCATGCCCCTCGCAAACCTCATATGGAAGTTGCCATGCGAATATTGCGGTACTTAAAGGGAAATCCAGGTCAAGGTTTATTTTTCTCTTCCCAAAATGACTTATCTTTACGTGCCTTCTGTGATTCAGATTGGGGAGGTTGCCCGATATCCAGAAAATCAACTACGGGGTATTGTGTTTTTTTGGGATCCTCACTAATTTCTTGGCGAACAAAAAGACAAAAGACAGTTTCTATATCATCAGCTGAAGCAGAATATAGAGCTATGACAGGCGCATGTTGTGAGTTGTCTTGGCTACGTTCGTTGTTCAAGGATTTGGAGACATTGCACCCAAAAGTCGCACTGTTATATTGTGACAATAAAGCAGCTCTTCACATAGCGTCTAATCCGGTATTTCATGAAAGAACTCGACATATAGAGATAAATTGTCATTTTATTCGTGACAAAATTCAGGATGGTTCAGTAGCAACTGAGTATGTTCCTTCGCCAGAACAAGTAGCCGATGTATTCACTAAACCATTAGGAAATGAATCCTTTCTTACCATGAAGCACAAGTTGGGAGTTCTTGATATCCACTCTCCAACTTGAGGGGGAGTGTTAGGAAAGGAAATTATATTCTATGATTCTTGTTATTATGAGAGTTAATTGCATCCATGATTCTTGTTGTAAATATGGTAACATGGCAATTGTCATATCAGTATAATAGGAATAGATTGCTGAATTATAGGAACAAAATCATCTTATTAGAAAGATGTATATGTGTATATAATGCTCTAATGTTTCTGAATAAAAACAACCAAATTATTTCCATCTTCTCCTGTTATTTTGACATGATAGTATCTGAAATTAAAAAAAAAAAATTATAATATTACTAAGATTAAATTGTTGGTCATTGTGATCATACTAATTCAAAAGATTAATATTATAGTTGCAAACAAAATATACCATCTATACACAAAAGTTATTATGATTAGGAAAGGGTAACACCTTTTATGTTCAATAACATAATTATAAAAAATTACTAGTCAATTTTTTTAATTTTAATATATTTTGTGGTGCTGCTCAAGTGATTATTAGATATTAGGGTACGATATAGCTTCTGTTAGGCAAGTGGTACCAATATAGTTGATATGTCTTTTCTCTCTACAGTAACTTCTTTATATTATCCAAATAGTCTTTTTATTTAAAATAATAATATTAATAATATTTTTTAAGTAATACTTAAGTATGTAGATTAAATGATAATATGAAGACTAATTTGACATTCATAAGTAAATATTAAAGATTAATTCATTTGAGGTTCTCCGTTCTAAAGGTTAAATTAAAATACTAGTAAAAAAAATTTAAATTCCTTAATTAATGTAGAGATTAACTTTATGGTGGCGTACAAAGAATTTGAGTATTCATAATAAAAATAATAATAATATCCATATATAACTTTACACTACCATCTTCATTCAAGTGATTAAGAAGTCAAGGAATCTCACACAAGTTCTCTAATAAAGTAGTAGGTGAAAGTTCACACAATATAAAAATTTTCATCTTTCACTTTTTTTTCTTTCCCTATAGCAGCAATCATTAACATTTTTATGTTGTTTTTCTCACTTGTTAGCTATACATTATACAAATTCTAGAGAGATGACTACAAAAAAGATAACATGGAAATCCATGATGTTGATCTTAAATTGTTACAAAAGTAAATACCCTTTGGAGGAATCAAAGAAACAAGTTTTAAAACAAGGTTCTTTTCAAAGATTATGTTTATCAGATATAAGCAATTCAAGTTCAAGTCAAGCTATTGAAGATATTTCAGTTTCTTTTGCTGGCTATAAGCTTCATGCATTCACTCTTGAGGAGCTGAAAGAAGCAACACATGGTTTTTCATGGAGTAATATGTTGGGTGAAGGTGGTTTTGGACCGGTTTATAAAGGTTTTGTTGATGATAAAGTTAGACAAGGTTTAATGGCTCAAACTGTTGCTGTTAAATGTTTGGATTTGGATGGTTTGCAAGGTCATAGAGAGTGGCTGGTTGGTTAGCTTTCTCGAATACCATTTTTGCTTTTATTAAGTGTATGTTTGAATTGACGGTGAATTTCACAGAATCACGTACGCACTATGATTTTGTCGAAGCTCTAAAGTATAGCTTGAATCATAGTGGTTCATAGTGATTTAGTCAATTTCTTGGTTGAATCGAATCAAACATATGTTATGATTTAAAAATATCAAAATCAATTTTGAACATGTTTTTATTTTCTAGGCAGAAATTATATTTCTTGGACAACTAAGACATCACCATCTTGTGAAGTTAATTGGATATTGTTGCGAAGATGAACACCGGCTTTTGGTGTATGAATACATGCCAAGAGGTAGCTTGGAGAGTCAACTATTCAGAAGTATGTTGTTTTTCTAAATCTTGAGTTTGAATAATAGAAAAGTATTGTAGCCGCGACGTTTGTGTAATCGAATTTTGTGTGTCTTATGTTTGTATTTTTAGTATATGTTTTGTTTTGATTATGAGGTTGATGTTCTAACAAGTTACAAGCAGGATATTCTGCTGCTATGCCATGGTCAACAAGGATGAAAATTGCATTAGGTGCTGCTAAGGGTTTGGCTTTCCTTCATGAAGCAGATAAGCCTGTAATATATAGAGATTTCAAAGCTTCAAATATCTTACTAGACTCTGTATGTTGTTCTTATTTTTTTCCTTTTTGTTTACTTCATACCTTTCATGTTACCATATTAGGAAATTAATTTTCTTGTATCTATCTCCCTTCAAATTCAGGATTATACAGCCAAATTATCGGATTTTGGCCTAGCTAAAGATGGCCCTGAAGGGGAAGAAACACATGTCACGACGCGCGTAATGGGAACGCATGGTTATGCTGCTCCTGAGTACATCATGACAGGTGTTTACACTACATACAATTTGTTAATCTAGTTTCGTACATCAGCCATATTTGAGTAGTTCGATTCTCTGCAATATCAAAGACGGGAAGCGATCAAGTCAAATGTGGCTGATGTAGTCGCAACCATGGTGATAAAGATATCAAAACTTTGATGTATAGGCCCAAATTATGGTCGTAGAATATTTATCATGATCGGTTTTCTTGAAAACCAGAGGGTTGAACTTGAAAACAATTAACTCTAGGATGATTGATTATATATATATAGGTCACCTTACAACAAAAAGTGATGTGTATAGCTATGGAGTGGTTCTATTGGAATTGCTTACAGGAAGAAGGGTAGTGGACAAGTGGTTAGAATCAAAAAGAGGTAAGAGCTTGGTAGAATGGGCAAGACCTATGTTGAGAGATGAAAAGAAACTTGAGAGAATCATAGACCGTAGACTTGAAGGACAGTTTCCTATGAAAGGAGCTTTGAAAGTTGCTATGTTGGCTTTTAAATGTTTGAGTCATCACCCAAATCCAAGACCTTGTATGAGTGATGTTGTTAAGATCTTGGAACCACTTCAAGATTTTGATGATGTTTTTGTAGGTCCATTTGTTTATGTTGCTGTAAGTGAAAATGGTGACAAAGATTAGACAGTAGTGTGATTTTGATAGAACAAGAACTCAGAATCTCAATCAAGATTTTGAGATGCAAATAAGTATTACAACTTGGAAACTCATGTGGTCAAGAGTGGTAAAAGTCTGATGATGTACAAGGGCTTGAAACAAGTTTTTGTGCTGATGTTATCGATTGTTGTTACACATGTTTGGATTGTTATAGTATGGAGACTACAAACTAGTATAGAATACACAAACTCATCAAATCTATTCATAATATATTTGACAAAATTATTCTTGGATTGTGGTTATGATTTGGGATTGCAAATCAGTTTGATAAATCTGACTAACTAACCAATGTTAAACTGACGCAACAAAACTGTGTCTACCAAAATTCACAGATAAATAATATCGGCTTTTTATCTGTTGAATTAGGATTTGTAGATAAATAATTATTTTTGTGAATTTTTTTTTTGAATAACCATGTATTAAAAAAAAATCGCAAATAACTACGTTTCGGAAAAAATTACGCAAATAACCATGTTTCAGATGACTCCCCAAAGGAGGAGTCATCTCACTTGGCGCCTACACCCATTATTTAAGGGGAGGCGCCATCTCACTTGGCGCCTAGGTGCTTAGGGCATGCCCTAAGCCAAGTGAGATGGCGTCTTAGTGCAATTCTAGGGCAAATTTCGCGTTTTTTTTCTTCAGTCCGGTGCGTTGCGTATTCGATACAAGATCAACAAAATTGATTTTTTATTATAAAAAAATGATTACACCCATATGTATTACATTAAAAAACCAGATAAAAAAACCCAGATAAATCAGTTATCCCCCGGAACCCGGTAATGACCCCCGGTTCCGCATCCCTGTCCTCGCCTTTCCCGTGCTGGGTGTCGTCGCGTTTCCTGCTGTGGCAGGGTCGATGGCCCAGCGAAGTCAATGCGTTCCGGATCTATGAAATCAGTCAGATCTCCATATCTAGAAGATCCGCTTTGGTACAATCGGTTACCTATACCCTCAAAGTTTAGTCGTGTTGGCGGTGGATGGGGTTTCATAGTGGGTCTGTAGCATTGATCGTCTGAGTACGGGGGTAGAAAGGAAATGGATCTTGGGGTGTTTGGTATTGAGGATGTTGGGTGGTTTGGTGATACTGTGGTTTATGGTAAGTTGGATCGGTTGGTTCGTAATCTTCCGACATTCCCAGATCAGGGCTAAGGCTGGATGTTGAGGGGCCCATATTGGGATATACAGAAGACTGAAATTGTGTGTGGGGTATGCGGGTGTGTTGGTATTGTGATTGGTATTGCGGTTGGGTGTGAGACATATGGGGGTATTGGTACTGAGGTGGTGATTGTGGTTGGTTATGGGGCATTTGAGTGTAATTGTGTTGCGGTGGAGACTGTGGTTGGGTGTTTGTGGTTCTGTTTCGTCTGGGGGGTTGGTGGGAGGTTGATGTGTGTTGGGTTTATTGTTGGGGAAATGAGGGTTGTGCCCATTATGTTCGTGGGTCAACCAAATACCTTGGATGAGACACATGCATTTCAGGGTTACTAACTGACTTGTACCAAGATAAATATTGATCCGTGTGTCGCATATTACCATGATTGAGGAAAACCGGGAATTGCAAGACATGTCGGTGACGCCTCTGCCACATCTTAACCATTCTGGAGCAAAGTCTTTCCAGTTGGTAAGACCCCACTGGGCGTCGACCCTTTTGAGATGCCACGGGGACAAACAAGCCGGATCACTTGGTATCTCTTGATGCATTCCGAACTGCATCTTCACACGGTCGCTGTGGTGCATCTCCATAACATTGAACCGTATGATTGCAGTCTTGGCGCTCCAAATTGTTGCATCCCCGGGGTTTGGTTCATGGCCCAAACCCAAATATGGTCTCCAGACAAACTGCGAAAAAAATTAAATCAGGTTAATGAAAACGTAATATATAAGTAATTTAAATGAAGAAAAGTTGAAAGGTACGACGTACATCATTAGGCCTAGGTGATCCAACAGATTGCGGTATAGTGCAACATTGAATCTTGGATTCTTGCCGTAATCCATACCCCTCACGCAATACCTAAAGGAAATAAAAAACATTTTATTTTTAGCATATATTTGGTGAAGAGATGAATAGTAATAAATAATATAACTTGATGACTTACTTTGTTGCGTACAGGAAAACGAAAGTGTTGTTGTTGACGGGGTTTAAGGACTCCATCCTCCACCAACCCCAGGCTTGTAGTAAAAAAGCGCAGCCATAAAATGTATATTTTTCCTTGACTGCATTTTTGCACAAGGAACTGTATAGGTGGGCTAAAACTGCAGAACCCCAACTATACTTTCTTGTTTTTTCAAAATCTCTAAGTAAATACAAATACATAAAATTTACACTATTTCCTGTACTTTCGGGAAATAAAAAGGTTCCAAATAGTATCATTAGATATGTTCTGGCTTTTACTACTCTGTCTTGCTCGGAGAAATTTTCGTTTAATTCCAAACTTGCATAATGATTTTTAAGCTCAGTGAGTAGTATACCCTGACCTCTCGCACCACCACCTTCAACCATATCCCTTTCCAATAATTCTTCACACTGAGAATTGGGTGTTGAACCGACCCATTAACGGTCTTACCGTCGACAGGGAGACCCAGTAACATGTACACATCCTCTAGCGTGACGGTACATTCACCTATTGGTAGGTGAAATGTATGGGTCTCTGGTCTCCACCTTTCCAATATTACAAGAATGAACTTCGAATCAATTGTGCAGTTGGAGATCTTTATAACATGTCCGAAACCTGCGTATTCCAGATATAGTACGATAAATGGGTCGGGAGTCAGGTAGTTGTGAGACCGGATTCTGAATCTTTTGGTATCCTAAGTTAATAATGTAAAAGATGTAAGATTAAGTAAGATGAACAAAGCATTACCTGAAGTATAAAAAATGTATAACCAAAATAGAAACTTAAAAATGCGACAATGTTGTCCCTTGTGCCTCTGTGAGAATCGCCCATTGTGAGAAGAGTCATTGTTGAAAATGCCTGAGATTATGAAAGACTTAGAAAGTGTAAGAGATTATGAAAGACTTTGTAGCAGAGAGTGAGACGATTGTGAGTGTGAGATAAGTATGTTATGCTTTGTATTTATAGGCAAAAAAATTTTATAGAGTAAGTGAGGTGGTAGCTGGTGCATGCATGCATGATAAGTGTCACTCTTGTAGAGTAAGCACAACTAGGTGGCAGCCTTGGAGAAGGCATCTCTGCATGCATGTAACACGATTGGACATTAAGGGAGGCGCCATTGGACTTGGCGAAAGAGTACAAAAATGAAAGGTGTCGCCATCCCCATTGGAGAATAAGAGGTGTCATGGGTTGCAGAGTAGACACAGGCTAGGTGACAGCCTTGGGGATACCATGCCTGAATTCATGTAACACTATTGGAGGTGATGGGAGGAGACTTACAAGTTACAGTGTAGGTGCAGAGTAGGCGCATGCTAGGTGGCAGCCTTGGGGGTTACATCTTTGCATGCATGTAACACGATTGGACATTAAGGGAGGCGCCATTGTACTTGGCGAAAGAGTACAAAAATGAAAGGTGTCGCCATCCCCATTGGTGAATAAGAGGTGTCATGGGTTGCAGAGTAGGCGCAGGCTAGGTGACAGCCTTGGGGATGCCATGCATGAATGCATGTAACACTATTGGAGGTGATGGGAGGAGACTTACATGTTACAGTGTAGGTGCAGAGTAGGCGCAGGCTAGGTGGCAGCCTTAGGGGTTACATCTCTGCATGTGTTGGCTCCTAAATTCGACACCCTTGTTTTTATTAATATAAACCATTAATCATGAGGGACGGTTTCGACCAGCTGATTCTATCGAAATGCTCATCAGAAGATGGCAAGGTACTTAGAGAATTTCGTCTAAGTAGGAATCTTGTTGCCTTCGACGTCGAAGGTTCTTCTCGACAAAGGTATTCGATGCTCAGAGTGGAACGGTTTGAGATTCAAATGTTTGGAGGGAAAACGGTTCCCAGCGGTTACCAAGTGCAACGTGCCAAGATCTGGAGCGTCGAATGCTATGAGCATGCCAAGTGGAGTCATCTCGAAGCAGCGTAACTGCCCGACGGTTACTTGAGATGTGTTTAGTATAAATACTAGTTGTTCACGTAGTTTTTCGCGTGTGTTCACAATTATATACAAGTCACTCATTTAGATTCAAGTACCCAGTGTGAGCGAAAGAATTGTTGAGAATGTATGTGTGAAACACCATATAAATTAATCAAAGTCATTTATTTTCCAGAACTTTATTGCCTTTCATTTACTTTTCCCAGTCGAAGCCTTTATTTAAAGCTTTCTTTTATTCTACCAAGTTTTCTTCATGCAATTTACATAAAGTGTCTTTATTTTCTTGTCATTAACCATCATTAAACTTAGTCAAAACCCCAAAAATCAACCATGTCTTAGGATCAATCTGATTGATCCTGCGAGTCACCAAATAAGTAACCTTTTGGAGGATCAGCGGTTGTTTACCAATTTCCACGGTAAACAAATTGGCACACCCGGTGGGACCTTGTGTTGATTTTGAAGGTTAACCGTATTTGTACAGAATATCATCTTTTTCGAGAAGTATTGCATGTTATTGAGAAGTGGTAGAATATACACTAACGACACCAATACTGCCAGAAGAAGAGAAGCGATGGCGAATCCGCCAAACAATAGCGAAATCCCACAAACGAATGTGGGAACAACGGTAATCCCAACTGTAAGTGAAGCGCTAACCGCTGGTTCAACACCAGCAGTAACGGTCACACAAATGGGGCCATTACCTCCGTTCACTGGCCTCAGAGTGCCTTTGGGAACTCCCCCACCAAGGGGAAATCCAGGAACTAGGCCTTATGTTCCCCCAGGATTTTTGACAGGCGGTCCAAATCGAGAACCACTCTATGGCATGCCAACGTCTGAATTGGCTAGCCTGACGAACGCTGCGTCCACTTTTTCAGACCCTTTAGTGAGTGCCTCTTCGCCACTCCAAGGTTCTGG